TTTATCTATTTATAATCAAATTAATATTGAATAAAAAGATTAATCTCTACACTTTTCTAACAAATTAACTTTCCCCGCTATGAAATGTGTCGAATGTTTCACCTCATTTCTAAGTGGCACCGCTCGCTCTGGTCAAAAAATTCGTGGATGTCATTGCTTTACGGAGAAAGTGATTTGATCCAAAAAAAAATTTTTATACATTAAAAATTATGTCGTAATAATATAATACCTCACGTAGATTTCTATATATATAGGAAAGTGTTCGTCTGTATGTCCAGCCTTTTCTCTATGGCACTCACTGCCACCCAATTGTAGTTGCAGTGGTAGAAGGCCCCGCGTGTGTATTTGCAAATAAAGAGTTTGGTTGCTGTGTGTGAAATTGGTTGAATGCAGGCGGTAACAATGTGTAATGAGATACGTCGATCCTTTTTTAACACATTGTATGACTCGTATAAGCTCAAAACTGAGCTGAATGGCGTAAATTACGTTTGTTCGTGATAATATTGGGAACTTTTCTACAATGTTAAGATTTTTCCAGAATATTCTAGAATACTCCAGATTTTTGCAGATTGTTCTAGAATATTCTAGGATATTTTACAATTCTTAAAAAATTTATGAAAATGAGTTATTGCAGTTAATCCGGAATGTCCTAAATTGTTCTGAAAAAAAATTCAAAATTTATTAATTAAGAATAATTGTGGTCGATATGGAATATTTTCATATTTCTAGATTGATAAGGATAGCTCTAAAATAAAATTAAATGTACAATATTACTTAAAAATAATTATAGACGCGTTAGAACGTTCTAGATGGTTTCAAAAATTTCTAAAACATTTAAAAAAATCATAAAATATATTTAAACGTTAAAAAATATTTGCGAATAATTGTAATGGATCTTAGGTGTTTTAAATCATTTTAAACTTTTTTTAAATAATGTAAAATTTATAAAATTTATTTAAATGTTTAAAATCAATTTAAAATTATTTTATTCAATCTAACAGGTCTTGGATTCATGAATGATCTAGGGAATTCCGTCATATGTCTGTACACTAAAATAATTAAAAATAATTATTACGTGTCTAGAATATTCTAGATTATTTCAATGTTCAAAATTATTCAAAAAATATTTTAGACAGTTTGGAAAAGAGAATAATCTAGAAATTTCTATTCTGGAATATACATAACGTCGAATTCATGCAGAGACTCAACGGTTATTTGAATTTCAGTTTAGTTGTGAAGTCTAGAAAGTATTGACACTAGAAATTTCGATTGCTGACAGTATATAAGCGCGGTTCAAAGTTTTTTTTTGTCAGTCAGATTTCGGCCACACTCAAGTGGTAATCAATAAGCAAAATACTCAAAAACTAATCTTGAAGAATGAATTATCTAGAAAATTATATTCTGGAATACACATAAAGTCATTCCTTGCAGAGTTTCAACGATTTTGAATTCCACTTTAGTTGTGCAATCTAGAAAGGTTTTGAACAAGGTTTCTCTTGCTAACAGTATATAAGCGAGAGTAAGCGCTTTTTGTCAATCAGATCTCAGCCAAGCTCAAGTGACAATCAGTAAACAAAGTGCTCAAAAACTAATCTTTAATTGTAAATAATCTAGAAATTTGTATTTTATAATACACATAAAGTCATTCCGTGCAGACCTTAAGCGATTTTTTGAATTGCAGTGTAGTTGTGCAGTCTAGAAAGGTTTGTTTCGATTGCTGGATATATATAAGTGGGAGTCATCAGAAAATCAACAAGTTAATGACGTCAGGATCATAAGTGATTAAAAAATTAATTAAAACATTAAATAAGAAGTCTAAGCGTAAAAGATTATTTACACAATCTCATGTGAATTACTTATAAGGCTTTAAGGAAAAGTAAAAATGAAACAGAAGAACAACGACTTTTGAGAAATTGAGAAAGAGTGCAAATTAAATAAAACATATAATTTAATTCAAAATTATTTTATTTATAAGTTAATTAATTAGTCGATTTCGTGTACACTATAGATATACAAACTACATTTAATGTTACAAATATTTTTTGTACATACATAAGATAGAAAAACTGATTTTATAGCCATTAAGTGTGCGATGTATTTTGACCCGGGCAACGCTGGGTTTCGCTGCTAGTATAAAATGAAAACTATAATAGTACGTAAGTAAATTTCAAACTTCAAAGCAGCATAATTTAAAAGAAACGCTTTGTTAAGTATTCATTCGTAATGTTAAAAGCGTGTTAAATTCTACCGTGATTTCAACTATTCAGGCCGTGAATACGAAATGAATGTAAAATATTATTGTTGGTTTAAGAGCGGCATTTTGGAATAGTTCCACGTACTGTCTGCGCGCACTGAGATAGTCTCTTCCGTGGAGATTCAACTGGATAGTTTTTTTCTTTAGAAATTTAAATGAATTTTTCATTTTGTAAACCCTTACAATATTATACTCGGGAAGGGACTTCGTTAAGCTGAAGCAGTTGGGAATAATTAAATATTTTAATTATAAATATTGAATTTTATTTTATTTCAACTTTCAAAAGACAGGCAGATGAAAATAACTTAACAAGTCATTTAGTTAAAAACTAAGCAAAGAGGTATTTAAAAGAAAAGGTGTGTGTAGATGAGAGTTAATGTAAGGGTAAGTCTATAGTAAGGAGCGTGCAGCGGGGCGGAGTGTTTAACGTTTAACGGAGACCCTTTTTTTGATAACAGAGGATTCCATCTTATTTCTCAAGGGTATGCATTTTGATTCTTAATCCGGCAAAGTTTTGAACATAATTGAATTCTACCTAGAAAATAAGTCACAATTAGTCAACTAAGGCAATATTATTCAAAGTAATTCATTACTAATAAATTGTGGAATTCCTCAATGATCAATTTTAAACCCATTGCTTTTTTGACCTATATTTACAAAATACATGACAAACACACGCTCTTGTATTACATCTTGTATGTAGGGTAGAGCGGGGCTTAAAGGTCCATTTTAAGTATATTGCTTCATTATTACATATATATATAAGGTTTCTGAAATAGACTTTAATACCATTAGTCAGAGTAATCCTTCATCTGTAAATGTTAATAGTTAAACATGGCCAGATTATAACCATACACCAGATATTATCGATGTAGAGGATTGAATCGCATGGTCCTTTTTACCCCCCCCTTGCGGGGTAAAAAGGACCAGTGATGGGGTAGAAAAGACCAAGACAATTAGGTAGTATATAATGAGTAATTGAAACAAAAATAAAACTATATTATGGATAATCTATATAATGCTTTAGGAACATAGGAGAACTAGCCTGTGTACTTATTAAGTATAAATGTTACTAAGCCTAAAACTATAGCACAGCCTTTCAGTCTCAAAAACAAGTCTTTAGTTTAATCTTTACATCACAAATCTTTTAATATATTTATTAGATTAAATTATATTTAATATCTTTGGCACATTGACCATTATAAAATTTAAAAAAGAAATAGAACAAAACATTTTTCAACAAAATCACAGCTATTTCTATTATTATTATATGAAACAAAACAATTAATTTTCATTCGAATCACAATTATTACATATATATTCCGCTATTAAAATAATTGACGCACTTTTCATGTGCCCAATCTTTGCAAGCAGTGCATTGAATCCAGCCTTCCCCTGGGACGCTGTCTGAAAATGACTCGCAGCATATTATGCAAAAGCATTCTTCTTCTTCAGAGCTCGAACAATCGTTTTTGTTTTCTTGTAAAACCTTTTTTTTCACCTGTTTATTTGTCCGTGTAGCTTTTTTGCGAATAACCTTATTCTTGTTATGTTGTTCTAAAAACAATGCTTCTTTTTCGGGTGTGTCTGTTAACATAGCTGTTTTGCGTCGCTTCCTGTTATTAACTTTACGTACTCCAGCCTTAGGAAATGGCCTAATAGCTCCCGGGGAAAATACTTTATTCAAGGATGTCACCGTTTCAGACATCAACGAAATGACTTGAAAAGGCTGATGCTGTGTCTCTAATTACAGCTGCAGAAGACAGAAATGGATCCGCTGATGACAAAAAAACTGTAGTGGCAGTCAATAGAGGCTCATTAACTGTAGATTGCTGTATCTCCTCAGTAGCGCAAGACATTGGAATTGCTGAAACGACAGGTGTTAATAAAGGGGGTGGGGCAGGCAGCTGAGGATCAATATTTTGGAACGGTTGTATAACAGCCGCCGACGATTGCGCTGAATTATCGGGATTAGGCCGATCTGTTACAAAACTTGGAGCGAAATCCAAATCATGAAACACATCTCGATTAAATGGGTAAATTCCCGCTTTTTGAAACCCGTTCGAAATGAGCCAATGGTAAGGCCGTTCTGACTATTCCTGGGATGTCATAAATTGATATAGTTTTGCCAGGATTATTGCGCAACCATGCATCTTGTGCTGACGATAAATACCTTTTAAACGGCCCATATACTGACACATCTAAAGGTTGCAGTTTGTGGGAACAATGAGGGGGATACGAAAGCATCACTACTCCATTATTCTTCGCTAAATCCAATACTTCAACTGATAGGTGCGAACTGTGGTTGTCCACTAGAAGTAACACTGGCGATTCTTTAGTTGATTTTACATATCTGATAAAATGTTTCATAAAAAGCAAGAATTCCACAACAGTCATCCAGCCACTTGCATTCCCTGCACCAATACATTCTGCTGGCCCATCTCGCACGAAATGGTCTTGGTATTTCTTTCTTGGAAACACAAACATTGGCGGCACAGAAGACCCAGTTGCTGAAACAGCTACCAGCAATGTTACATTAGTTCCTCTTTCAGCCGATGTAACTGATCCAACGTTGCGTTTTCCTTTTGCTGCAATTATTTTTGAAGGCTTTGTTACGGTTGAGATACCGGTTTCATCGGCATTCCAAATAGATGAACCTCTAAACTTGTGACGATCTATCACCTGAGCCAATTTATCGAAGTAAAGACTAACATTTGTTCTATTAAAAGAGGTCGCCCTACTTAAACTAGTGGCCTCTGGTTTTCTGATGGAAAGACGATTGTTTCTTGCCAAAAAATCTCGTCAACCAGTCTTTTCCTGCCATTATATTTGAGTGCCACGTCTCTGCAATCTTTAACTCATATTTGAAAGCGCATTCATAAGCCAGACGGCGAACATCTTTGGGTCCCAATCCATGAAAAATTTGGGCTAGTGTTAACAAGTACTCAGATAGAGATGTTTCTTGATATTTACTAAATACTAACCTGGGAGCCCCATAACCAAATCTTGGCTTTTCTGGGTTTTCTTTTAGTCGTTCCATGAATCTTATCAGTGATGTTTTGCTGATCTCATAGTCACGACAAACTTGTCTAAGGGATTTGTTTCCATTTGTGACTAGCTCTGCCGCACGCTGCATCAGCTCCTCTGATTTTGTACCTCTCTCCGTAGTTTTTTGTAATTTCGCATTCTGAAAATAAATGATACAAACATAATTAAATAATTGTTTTTGTAGGGCTAAAAGGTCCACTGCGGGGCACAAAGGACCGCCGCGGACCTTTTTACCCCAATGGTAGATTGATTTTAGTTTGAGGTTAAAAATAAACAATAAAACTGTACACACAAAAACAATGGTACTACGTGAAACATAATACTACAAACCTTACGCGAACAGAAGTTTAACTTTGTAATGTTACAAACGGAACTGTAAGACTAAAATTAGTGATATAAAAAATATTTCTTACGTGTATTTTTCGGACCGCGTGCGCGCACACTCTCCCCCTTGCTACAATTTATTTATCTATCCTGGCACTCGAGAGCTCACTGCGGGAGTCGTCGGCATGCGTACCCCCCCCCCCCCCGTAACCCCTTCAAACGCATGTTACTCGCTTGTCTAACGGACATTTACTTTCTGAGATAGACATGGTGGACCTTTTTACCCGCGGACCTTTAAGCCCCGCTCTATATATTATACCATTATCATTACAGCTTATCAAAAGTTCACTGCTGAACATAGGCCTCCCCATGAATTACCTCATAGGAGGGCTATTTGCCTTAGTTTTCACGCTTGGCTACCGGGTTGATAGACACTGTCTTTTACTTTTATTCAGCTGTTATCAGAAAGATCCTGCTGATCATCTACTGGTTCAGTTTCTCCTTTTTGCTTTTCACGGCACTCACGGTATGAAAATTATATATTTCTACACCGCCGTTAGACGGTGTTTAAAACTAAACGCCCCGCTAAATACTTTTCACAGAGGCCTAAATATAAGGCGTGAGTAGAAAATGTTTGGCGGTACGTGTGTAGTTGCAGAACAATTTGAATAGCTATTGTTTAACACTATCTTATTTAATGAGTATAACAGTGGTCAATAGATATGCATGTTGCATGTTTTACAAACTCGCAATTTGCGTGTAAAGTAAAGTAAATTTGCGTGTAGTTGTAACAAATTTCGCACCACCCCGCCGCAAGGTCTGTTAGAGCAAACACTAAGTGCCTTCACAAACTGGCTAAAATTGTAACAGTTCGGTCATGATACATGTCATTTTAAGCCTTTTCTACATGGTTGGATTAACCGGCCATCCGAAGTCTACTCGACTGGATCAGCTTGAGTGCTTGTCTACGTGATTATTCCAGTCTCAAGATTCAGCAGTGTTTCTAACTTGGTATTTGGAAATAACGTGAAATAGGCAATGGAAAACTTCTTGAACTAAAATATTGTAACACTTTTTAACGTCTACTCCATATATACTTTATTTGTTTTTCTTTGCTATTTTACCAATGCTTGCTTCGATGCAACCTTTGTATTAGAATACAAATAAAAATAATTGAGCAAATGAATTATGACACAATTACTGTGCTGATGAAGGGAGGTTGAAGGGAGGTGGACAAATAACGCCCTAAACTTTGCATAGTCGCCATAGCTTATATATTCAACACGGGATAGCCAGAGGATATTTTCTATTTATGGTACGGATTAGGGAAATGTGATTATATTTCCTCATCCACGCAAAGGTATAATAAAATAAGCTTAGTAAGTAGGTAAGTATTATGAGATGCTAACGCTACAATATAAAAATCTTCTCTATTCGACATAATATTACATGTTCATTTGAAGTAAACTTTTTCATTTTTATAATGATTTCATTGTTTAGCCGAACGAGATCGCTTATATTAACGTTTTTAATTTTAACTTTTTAAACTTTTTTCTTTCATTGTGAAATACCTACCCAGCTTGCGCGGGCAAGAGCGGGTTACGTTGGTCTCGCAACGACATAAAAAACCGTGATGTTCCAGCCATCCCGTGTCTCTTGGATCGAGCCATTAGAAAAAACTAACTTAATCACCTTAAACAAGTTTAACCAAGTAAGTAAGTTTTTCATTTACAGTAATATCAGTGGTAACAGCAACACTCTCATCCATGATTATATGCAGTCACAGATCGATATGCTTGTACACGACTCTGACTGAAAATCAAATTGTAACCTATTTGTATATGTATATAGTATTATCTTTAATGATAGCTCTAACGCAATTTATGCGCACGATTTTGGCATGTAATTAGCAACACCGATGAAGCGATTAATGATCTCGATTTGAATGTCGACATCCGATTGCTTTGCATTCCTGATTAGAGTTCAATTAACAGCACTGTTTAAGCAGGAGAAAGGAATTCCATATCACTGGTACAGCTACGAGTACGTTGTAAAGTATTATATCTAAGTTATGGATTGGGTCTCAACCAGGGAAGAATGACACTCACCCAGAGTACCAATGAGAATTAGGTAAGTAATGTGAATAATGAAAACCACACACAATTTTTATCTGTAAATTTTATTTTAGATTTCGGGGGTGACAACACATCTGTATCTTATCATAACATACTTAATCGAGAATAAAATATTTTTGGGCCACAGCAGCAGTGGTATATGTGCTCCAAAGAATTTATAATCACTATGTTTTTGTGCTCGTTTGTCATCCTTAAATATATAAAAAAAATTACGTTTACAACACAGTCAATAATAATTTAACAATTCTAAAAAACTGTCTGTGTATAATAATAAGTGGAATTCGTTCAATTGTTTTTGAACACATGATAGTTTATTTATTTATGATGAATTTTTTATATCATTATTTATGATCATAAACATATCTTTATTTATGTCATATTTATGGTTTAGTAACTGCGCCTGTCGACAGCGCAATTCCAAATCACGTCACAACGATTAGCATACTTAAAAACTTTATTTATGATTAAAACACTCGTTTTATGAATACCTTCATTACAACTGAAAGAATTTTTAAAAATGGTTACGATAATATAACTTTATGACAAGCAGAAAATTATCCCTTTTTTCACTTTCGAATTCAAACCTAAAGTAGACGATATGTTTTCCGGGTCTTTTACTACCTATACGCCTAATTTAATAAGTATACATTCATTTACAAGCAAAGTATACATTTCAAAAACTCTACCTTATCCTCTTATGAATAATATAACCGTCAATATCCATTACGAAAATCAACTTTTAGAGAAATGAAAAACATAACTTAACCTTTCTTTTGTGCATTTCCGAATTCGGATGAAAAGATACGTTACCCAGGTCATTCATAATCTAGACACTGAAATTTCATGAAAGAACACACAAATCAACAGCAGATTTATTATTAAGTATATATTCTAATATAGAACATATTATTTTTTCTAGAGTAGGTATAGAAACTTTATTTTATTTATTTACCCATCTTTGGTAAATAGCATGAGTAAGTTTATATCACAATAGTTTTATTTGTGGATATAGATTAACTCATCACAGTTCAACTATTTAATTACGTAAGATATAAGAAACAAAGATAAAAACAAAGCTTGTGTCAGTTGTTTAGAGCAGATACGTATTTCCAACATGTGTACGTAAATTGCACTTCCTCGCCTATAACCACCACTGATGAGGCAATAAATGCGGTGGAGGCAGGAAAAATAAAAGCATTCTGTGATTGTCCCGCGGGGGTTCTTGTCAGAGACCCCCCGCTGACGTACTTCCGTCCATTAATTGTGAGTTTCCGAACGTGCTTTGTCCTTTATTCGTATACTTTTTTCCAAAAATAATAAATATGATATGGTTTTTGATTTTCGAGGAATTATTGAATGTAATATAAATAAAATATAAATAAAATTGAACTGTCTATTTGTTATATCGAAATAGGTAGCTCTTATTAAGCTCAAACGGATATTGGCTTATTAAAACTTGAATAACCATTTTCGAAATTTTTGTCTGTCTGGGCGTAACTTCGGGATGGCTGAAATTATTGTGAAAAGATAGGAGATAGGATCGACATTCAAGTATAGTCTAGGTTATATATTAATCAAAAATATCTCAAGGCTTTTTATTATCTTGAATCTAAATAGCGCCATTTTATATCCTACCCAGCAGATCCAGGACAGTCGCTAATAGCAAATAAAATTAAGGCCAATCTAGAAGAAATAGACTAAAATAATCTAAAATACTGTAAAATATTAATATAATTTCAGTTTTTCATCATCACATAATTAATTTTTTTTGTCTTTACATTTTTATGTCTTTCTTGCTACTATTTAGGCAAAATATTACATTTTATAATTAACTCTACTGAATAATGAAACTGTATATACAGAACTTATAATTAATATTAAAAACTACTTAATTAAAGAGACAAAATATGTCATCCAAACAAAGAGAAACACAACGTGTGTTATTATGTGTTTTCAACCAAAGAAAATGAAAAAAAAACATCAATGAAAACACAACCATCCTTCCAATACATTTCACAGTGTTTTGCGGCGTAACCTACTATTGTCAACACTTTAACAAACGTTTTTAATTCCTAGTGGTCAAAACACAAATGATGAAAACTAAAATAACGAATTTTAAATATTTATGTTATCATATTTTACTCTTTTTTATTGGAACCATTAGAAACCTTTCATTATTATTAAACATTAATAGCGTTTTGTTTTTGAAATATAAAAAGGAATTATTGAAGAATTATGATATCTTACACAGCCAAATATAAGATTTAATTAGCAATAAATATGATAATATAGATTTTTTTATATTACATTGACAACTACATTGATGGCAACTAATGTTTACAGCTGTTATAATATAAAAAAACTCGACTGACAGTAAATCCTGGGAGCGAGGTGATCGCCACCATGCAGTTTCTACATCATTGGTTTTATTAAAATTTTCAGGTTATTAATAAAGCTGGTCGGGTTTTTGTTGGGTTTTTATAGGCCACCAACCCAGAGGCTTTTTTACGAGCTAGATGAAGCAGATTTCAATAAGCGTTACTTGTAATATGTATGGATAAAAGTTATTGAACTCATTCCTTTAGATAGCGTAGTAGAGTCACGCTTCAGCTATATAAGGCTTGCAACA